GATCGGAAACCGGAAGCCGCAGTTCGTGAGCAGGTACTTGTTCAGAAGCAGGATACCGATGTTGAAGCCGTACTAGGCGGCGACCATCCCGACCGTCGTCCATTGGATCGCCGCCAACATCGATTTTTGCAGTTGGTGATGTAAGCCAGGTGGTGCTTCTGGTGGTGGATCTGCGAGATCTCGCCGCTGATTGCAGGCGCCATAGTCATAGGGAGGTCGGGGAGCGAGAAGATCTGTGGGCCGTGAGAATGAGCGAGGATTATGGGCTCGCTCTGAAGACCTGGTCGGGCTTTGCTGGCTACAAGAGCTCGGAGAGCCCTAAAAATATGTGCTGGTCTGCTGGGTTTTCTCCGACGGGTATGTTCTCTTTGTTCTTCAACTCCTCCCAGCGACTATTCTAGCTCTGGCCACCGTGCTCTTTCTCGAGGACTGCAAGGCCCTGGCTTACTTGATCACCCGCTCCATGAAAAACACTGACTGCAAAAAGTAACAAAAATGGGTTAGGTTTGCTGCTGCTAAGTACTTCACTTTCTTGTTCTCCTCCTCCTCCCACTATCTGTCTGAGTCGGAATCGGACCCACAGTCACAACTCACTCCCTATTTCAATCTCTCACTGGGCAATTTTAGAACCCTTTTCTATCAAAAATCTCAGAAAGTTCGAAGATTTATATCACTCTCAAAACTTCATCGTCGGAATTTCATAGCTGTCGAGGCAGAGGATGGAGGGTTTTCGCATTTTCCTGGAAACGGCTGCCTTTTCTCGCCTAAATGTGTCAGTTTTCAGCCGCCAGCAGCCGCAGATTTCATGCATTAACGGCGATGATTACAATAATGGGCCGGCACTAAACTACCCATCAAGTGATCACGGATTTAGCGGCGGAAATCGATGCCTTTTTGCGGCGGTGAGTCGTTGCAGAGTCGACTGAACTCACAGAAAGGCGGAGGTGGGGATTTAGGCCTGTTGTCAGCTGATTTGCTCGGAAATATCGCTGTTTTGGCCAAGCAACAACACGGCTGTCGATTTATGCAGAAAACAATGGAGGATGCACCGAATAAGGGTGTGATTGATTTAATATTCTTGGATGCACTTTTTCTCCTCGTCCTCCGACCCCTCAGAGCAGGACTCAGGGTAGCTACGTCAACCCGTGGCGGCGCTATAGCGTCCCACTTCCTCCTCATCCACATCAACAACATGTCCCGATCTCGTCCCTCTGCCTCCAGCTGGCTCGCGAAGGCTCCAGCTCTGATGCCATCCTCACTGTCTATTTCACTGGAAAGACTTTGGAGGAGCACTATGTTTCCAAGCTACAGTTTATCTGGCCTCAGGTTTCATGCATGTTTGGATTTCCTGCTAGGGGAAGCACCGACCAATGATCAAACTCCGATGAGTGTCAGGCTAAAGCAAAAGAGAAAAGCAAAAGTAAGAAAAAGAAAAAGGATAAAGAAAACTCTTGACCAAGTAGAAGATAAGCTGTCATACGACAATTCCATTATGATTTCGCTTTGGCATTGCCTGCCACCTGCCAAAAGAGAAAAGAGAAAGAAATGGAGTGGCGAAAGCAAAAGCAAGGCAGACTGCTTTATTTATTTTTTGAATGATGTAATTTATTTTCATTATCTTTCGGATATATCTGTATAAACCTCATCAGAGGGTAATATGTATAAACCCCATCAGAGGGTTAAAAAAAAAAAAAAAGGGCAAAGCCCAAAACAAATGGGCTGGCATGTTGTGGAGGGCGAAGGCCCATAAGCCCGAAATAGCACCAATCAGGTCATCAAAAGTACGGTCAGTACTCCACAATTATTTGGCAACCTGCTGTTATTACCACCAACCAGGTGATCAAAAGTACGCCCAGTACTCCACAATTATTTGGCAACCTGCTGCTATTACCACCAACCAGGTGATCAAAAGTACGCCCAGTACTCCATAATTATTCGGCAACCTGCCGCTATTACCACCAACCAGGTGATGAAATGTACAACCCGTACTATAATATCAATTGCCAACTAGCCATTCATGCCACCAACTAGGTGATGAAATGTACAACCCGTAATCTTTTTCATGCCGGTGATCAAAAGTATGCCCAATACTCCAAATTATACATGAGCATTACTCATGTCATTTATACATAAACATTCATGAGCATCACTCATGACAATCATACATAAACGTTCATGAGCATCATTCATGTCAACATTCATGAGCATCATTCATGTCAACATTCATGAGCATCACTCATGACAACATCCATGAGCATCACTCATGTCAATCAACATAAACATTCATGAGCATCACTCATGTCAATCAGCTTCAAAAGCGTCATTTACAGAGCTCTAGCTTCAAAGCTTCACTTGCAACACTCACCTACAAAGCTTCAGTGCAGGGTATATAAATACCGCATCCGAACAACCGCCACTTCGGCCCATACATGGATTCAATTTGAAGTCTCCAGCCAACATACTCTATTGATCGAAGACTTGGGGGACTACATTATGTACCATATATTGGGCCTCAACTGGGCCTCATGAAAAATACAAAATACTTGGGGGACTTAGCACATTACTTATGTAATGAGGAGTGAGCCCTTATTCTATAAAAGGGACTCTCTCACCATCATTAGAGAGCAATGCCACCAGCTGAGCAACCGCCTCGTCGCGAGCATAACTCATAACCCATCATTTATGTATTGAGGAGCGAGCCCTTATTCTATAAAAGGGACTCCCTCAACATCATTAGAGAGCATTAACTCTAGCCCATCATTCATGTATTGAGGAGCGAGCCCTTATTCTATAAAAGGGATTCCTTCACTTTCATTAGAGAGAGCACCACCCACTATTTATTATTGAGGAGCGAGCCTTTGTTTTATAAAAGGGACTCCCTCACCTTCAGCGCCGCCAGCCGAGCAACCGCCTCGCCACAAGCATCACCTTTAGTACCACACATTGGGCCTCTGCATTTGGGGGACTTAGCCCATTATTCATGTATTGAGGGGAGAACCTTTATCCTATAAAATGGACTCATTCACCTTCACCGCCGCCAGCCGAGCAACCGCCTCGCCACAAGCATCACTTCTAGTACCATACATTGGGCCTCTGCATTTAGGCCTCATGAAAGCATTTGGGGGACTTAGCCCATTATTCATGTATTGAGGAGAGAACCCTTCTTCTATAAAAGGGACTCCCTCACCTTCATTAGAAAGCATCGCCGCTTACTGAGCAACCACCTTACCGCGAGCATCACCTCTAGCCCATTATTCATGTATTCAGGAGCGAGCCCTTATTCTATAAAAGGGACTCCCTCACCTCTAACCGAACAGCCTCACCTCCATCACTTCATGTTGAGCATCACCACATGTCAAGTACCAGTTCTAGACAACTTCTAGTTACTTTGGCCCACACATGGACTGGATTTCAAGTCTCCAGCCAAAAGACTCTCTTAACTGAAGACTTGGGGGACTACTGTTTATACCATATTTAAGGCCTCCGTATTTAGACCTCGTATAAATACTCGGGGGACTCAAATGTAATTATGCAATAAATGAAGAGGCAAATATGTAATAAGTGAGGAGCCCTTATTCTATAAAAGGGACTCCTCACTCTCTTCACAGGGATAGCCAATTTGAGGCGAAGGTTGAGGCTAGAGAGAGATCCATCAAAATAGGCCTTTGGCCTCCAGAAATATATTAACATCAGTGTGGACGTAGCCCAAACATTGGGATGAACCACGATACATCTTGTGTTATTTACTTTCTTGTAGATTCACGGTCGGATTTTTGTTGTACCAAAGTCCTCACTGATTTTGTGCATCAACAAATGGTATTGCCAAAATTCTTTCTTATTTTGTTCCTTTTGTAATTAGGGTTGTAAGATTTTCATATGTATGTAAATATATCGTATATACATTTATAACTTTCTATATGTTTTATACGGTTTTAAAACCCGCAGCATTGCGCAGAGACACTTTTGCTAGTAAAGGAGCTAAATCTAGAGTGGACTGTGAGTTAGTAACCATTCTGCACACTTAGTTTGGCCTCTTGCCCACCCTTGTTTTTCTCTTATTAATTATTACCCATTGAACTGCCAAATCAACGAAGAATCAACGGTCAAAATTAAAAGGAGTATACGGAACATAAAAAATTCCTAATTAGAGGGTATTTGGAAAATAGCTCCTGTGGTAAAAAAAATATAAAAAAAAAATTTAAATCCCTTGTAGTGAAGTCCGTTAGGATTTAAACCTAAAAAACAAATTTCCGTTATCTTTGTGTTAACCCCAAAATCAAAACTTCATATTTCTGTGAATTTATGCACTCCCTTCGTTGTGGCTCAATATAAATGCTTCAATGATTAATCCAATCAAGTAAAAATGTAATTCTATATTGATCCCTTGTGTTTTCTTTATTCCTAAATTGTTTTCGTGCATGTTTGGGAGAGGAAGTAGGCTCTGCATCTGTTTGTAAGGCCCTCCTTCTCTCTATGATCTCCTCATTTCTGTTTCTTTCCCATAATGTGAGATGACATTGAAGAACCAGTACGGCCCTCCTTCCCGGAAAAATAGGCGCAATGATTACTTGATTGAATTTGAAGATTCTTTCAACCATGAGTGAATTTCCAGTGAGCCACAAACAGGAGAAGGAACACCAGTGAAGGAGGTACACGATGAAGATGCACGACAGTAACAACTGATGAAGGGGAACAAAACCTAACGGCACATAATGACTTAAATATAGCGAAATGCGGGAAAAACCAGTGAAGGAGTAACACAATGAAGATGCACGAAAGTAACAACTGATGAAGGGGAACAAAACCGAACGGCACATAATGACTTAAATATAGCGAAATGCGGGAAAATGCATGAAACCCAAATGTAGAGATTCAGGATCCTAACCCCTTAAAAAAAAGGGAAGCTTAACAGAGAAACTAATGAAAATTTTGATTTTGGGCTTAATTCCTAACGAAGTTCACCACAAAGGTTTAAATCTGAATTTTTTTACCACATGACTATCTTCTGAATATCCTATCATGAGGAACATTTATCCAATTAGGCCTAAAAAAATGTGCATACATCAGTTCTCGTGTTACAAACCCGTGTTTCTCTTTTCAAATGCCAATTTTATTCAATCAACGGGCACTTACAACACTTCAAAGTTTCAAACTTATTTCCCTGATGGACAAACTGATATCGTTTATGGCATTCGTGTCTCTCGTTTCTCTTCCCTCCTATGTTCAATAAACCGACATCTCCTACTTCTAGCATAGCAGCATACTGTCGTGAAGTGACCCCTTTATCCATTGCCTCGCGTGTGGCGTATCTTGAGCGTTGAGCCTAAAGAAAATTCATTCTACTTGGTATTTTGATCCCTGCCCGCTTCAGAATTTCTGCGGAAGCTTGCTTTGCCTTTGCAAGAACTTCTTCCTGTCCATTTATAATTGGCACCCGTAAGTAAACAATGAAATTTTAGGGCCTGGCTATCCGCCCATTAGTCTTCATTTGTATGTCTAACAAGCGAAAAGTATGACAGAATACCTCATCCACGTTCAAAATCTTCTTATCCTTCATAATCCACAGACCATTGCACATTACAGAGACTACATTTTCGGTTCGCATACTGTACACAAGGCTGGAAATGCTGCATATGTAGCAAAAGGAAAAGATTAATCTACCTGAATAAATGGCTATGTTGCAGACAAACAAAACGATTTTTTTATACAGATTAGATTGGAACCAGATCCGCTGAAAAGCCAAAAAACTGCCTTAGAAAATCATGGTTCCAACTTTAAGGGTATTTGATTGAAATAAAATTACTGCATATGATTCCTTCGGGGATGGTTCTTACCTGTCATGGAGAGGAACCATGGTCCAAGAGGAAGGATTGATAACAACCAAGTCAGCCTGCCAAATCATGGAAGAAGGAAGCTAATCAGCCTCGTGTTTAAAATTCGTTGAGATATGCACAAATGTGTATGGTATGGCTTTACTTAAAGAGAAAGCTGTATAAGAGATGAAGCAGAAGGACAAGAGAAACTAATTGGAGCTAGCCAAAAGTCCAACCTTTTTGCCGACCTCAAGGGATCCTATTTCATTATCCCAAAGTACTGATTTTGCACCATTTATAGTCACCAACTCAAGAACTGTTTCAGCAGGAAGAGCAGTAGGATCAGTAGTTCCATTTGTATGAACTTCCCGTCCTTTGTTAATCAGAGAAGCCAGGTACATCTCATCAACTGCAAGGAAGTAAACTGTACATGAATTTCGAGGTCCAACCATCAATGTTTCAATGTGCAAACCCCCAAATAAGGAAAAAATGCAAGAGTGGGCGATCAGAATTTCCACCTATGCTCATTCTGTTATTCGAGGGTGCCCCATCTGTTCCCAAAGAGACACAGATGCCAGCATCCAGCATCTCTCTAATAGGTGCAAATCCAAGCATTCGCATCGCAGCGGCAGGGCAATGAGATACTTTGACCCCGCCCCTTGAAAGACAATCAATCTGAAAATACAGAATAACGGCTTCGTACCAGCTAACAAGTTTTTAACCACCAAAGTTATTGATGAACAAGTAATACAATAACATACATAACACTCCAGAGGCTAAAAAGCTCATGATATCTTACTAGTAAACACATACAGCTGCATCTACTCCTATTCTGTATATAAAATAGCACGAGCAAGAAAAACCGCAACTCACCTGAGAAGGATTAACCCAAACTGTGTGGGCAGCTAGCAAATTGTTCTGGAGGAACTGTATATTCTCCAAGTGTGTTATCGTTCCATGGTCAACTTTTCGCGTCTCTGTCACAAATTGATTCTCGTATGCTATCTCTGCAACATGCTAAACAATTGAAAACTTGAGCTAAGTCTATGTAAAACTTCAAAATCTCTTTGAACAAGTCCAAAATGCTGGTAGAGTTAGTTGAGTATTATACCATGTGGATTCCAGTTTTCAGTTCCTTGGCAGTGTCCCTTGTTGCAAGCAGCAAATCATCAGTTGCATTCATAATCTGCCTAATTCCTAGCCACACTCTGATGCGCCCGTCTCCGGTGTTATGGTGCTTCTTGTAAAGCTCTTTCTGAGACTGTCCTTAAATGTGTGCGAGCAGTGAGTGAGTGAGGACATTAACTTAACAAAACCAACAAAAAAGCATAAAAGAGCTTAGAAATCAAGTTACCTGGATGCAATCACCGGCGCTCCGACCTGCCCAAGACTTGGGCAGGCCGTCACCTGAGTCCATGGTGGACTCAGCCAAACACGCCCTTAACCCCAGCAACTCCACCGCCCTCGCCATTCCCGACACATGTTGCCCTCCTGCTTCAGCAAAGCAAGTTACCTGTACAAACAAAAAACCAATTCCGCAGACGTGGATTAGACCAGTTGCTCGCCCAAGTTCAAATCCTCCTCGTTTATAAATTAAAATAATTTAGAATATCGTCTTGTTAGAAAGAAAAAACTTACACCAGAGTGAATGAGCTCTATGCCACAAAGCAAGGTGGAAATGTACGAATCTTCCTCGCTCATGTTGGACTCGTAGGGCCAAATCCGATCGTGCAGCCACGTCATCAAATCCACGTCATCTGCAATCCCTCTTCCCAGTTGCTGCGAGGTGTGCACGTGCGTATTGATCAGTCCTATTATTTTCAACATTTCCAATTATTTCCTTCGAATTTCGCTTTTCAAAAAATTGGAATTAAACAAATAAGCAGAGAAATCGGGAATCGGAGAGCGAAGCAGCTGACCAGGGAGGACGATTTGGCCGTTGAGATCGACAACCCGGTGGGCGAGGGCGGAGAACTGGCGGAGTATATCGGAAGACTGACCGACGGCTCTGATCGCGTCTCGCTCGATGACGATCCCGCCGTTGCGGAAGACGCGGCTGTCGGAATCCATGGTGACGATGGTAGCGTTGTGAAGTATAGTCACTGCTGAGGCGAAGTTGGTCGGAGACGCCATCGTTTTCTCAATCTTCTCCGCCGTCGCTTTTGAATTCGTTGAATCTGAACGTCTGCAACTTCGGAAAGGAATTGGATAAAGATAAAAATTTTATTCCTCAATAAACACGTTCTCGAATCGATTTATTTATTAATGAATTGGATGTCAGCCGTTAGCTTGTTGCTGGCAGCTGGCTGGCGGGGTTTTCAGTTGGATGCTGTCACTGTTACGGTTAGAGAGTTTGTTCGTTTGTTCCTTTTTTTGTGTGGATGAAAGCTAAAATTCATTACCAACACTTACAAACATAAACACAACAAAAACAAACAAAAGATGGGCCTCCAAGACAACAACCAAACAACCCAACCCGAGGGTCGAGCCCGAAAAGGAAAAGCACATAAACTATAAAAACTAAACGCTAGCCTTCTAATACCCTCGTCACGGCCAATGTACGCCATGGTGACCACAAGCCAGCTTCCCAACCAACACCAGAGGTGAAACCCAACCAAGCCCCAACAAAAAGAGAAGGCACCGTCTTTAATCAAGCTCCACAAAGAATCAATCTGCAGCCACCAATGGTAGAAAACCTGGGAGGAAGTCAGTGGATCCATTGACAACAGTGTTGAGACCGACACACAGGTGGAAGGTGGTGGTGCGAACACCCGAGCAGAAGCTCTACGTACCTTCCGATAAAGCTGTTGAAAACGGCGGAACAAGGTGGAAGCAGATCGGTTCAAAAGTGAAATTGAGAGAGGCCGAACCCAAGTGGGAGAGAAAGAAGAAGAAAAGGGTGAACGCATGTAAGGGGAAAGGCAGTGGGGGAAAGAAGAGAAGGGAGATAGGAAAAAGAAATTTTCCGATCGGAGCAAGGAAGGGTTAAAATGGAAGAACAAGGGCTAGGAAACTGAGGGGAAAACCAGGAAAAGCAAACGGAAAAGAAGAAGAAAATGGGTTGCCACCGACCTTCACCACGTCAGCACCACCTTTTAGTGATATTTTATTGAGAGTTTTAACGAAAAGTAGTGTACTGTTCACTTTAACGAAAAATCATATTTTTATATTAAAAAGTCAAACCTAATACTATTCAATTTACCTTTTATTTTGTCCTTATTGTTAAAACTCAAAGTTTTCAAACTATTTTCATTAATTTCCCTCATTTTATTTGTAAGTCCATGATATTGGGTTTGATTTTTATAATAAAGTTTCAATGTCGTTTAATTATTATACCAGCTTAACCATCACAGGGTGGTCAATGGTGGTATAAATTTCAGGTCCGTATTCTACCGTCATGTTTTGGGTTTGATTTTAAGTGTTGGTGAACCACACGATGGTGGTCAATGAGAGGTTAAGGCCTAAAAAATATGCAAAAAAAAAATATATATATATATATATTGTACTAGCCTCTTGCCGCACGCATACGCGTTTAGCAATTAGCCTTTCTATATTAGAGCATGTCTTTTAATTTTTTTTATTTAAATTACTAATTTATATTTTTATTCAAAAGAAAAAAAATGAAATGAAGCAAAAACATAAAGTCACCCATGTGAGAGTTTTTAATTTTTTTCATAAAGTTTTAACATTAAAATGTGGTGAATTACTTTATCTCTTTTTGGTTCAATTGTAATTTTCTTTTAATTTTCAAAGGACAATATATGGTATTTTGAATGTCTCACCATTTAGGATGCTTCCTTTATTTATATAGATAAGTTGATAACATACCTCAACTCTTCATATGTCGTTCAAAACAAAATCATCATTTTTTCTTCCAAGAAACTAGGGAGACCACATAATTATCATATAGTATACAATCTCATGTCGCAAGTGATTTATACCAACATTTAATGAGAGAAATTCATAATTAGCGTGACATGTACACATCACTTACTATTAGTGCACAAAATTTGCATGTCAAACCCAAATGAGTCCATGTGGACACTAACAGACTTTAAACCCAACAATCGAAAAATATAACCCTTGATGGGCTTTTGGATATGTACTGGATTAAAATGAACAAAAATATAAATGGTTCACTTCACAAAACCTGGGTTACATTTACTGTGTTGCTTGAATTCTGTTGATTAGAAGACTAAAAATAACGGTAAGCTAATACATCAATTTCACTCTCTCAAATTGTTCGACCCCGATTTTGGGGGTTCTCACTCCTTTATATAGGCCTCTAGTAAACCCCATTTATTGGGTCTTTCCCAGTGAGCATTTATGTGCCACTCCACATGGATTACCTGGCTGACACCTTTGTACTTGTCAACCCGACATTCGGCGATGAAGTGACTGGTGTCCAGTCAAATACATGTCGGCCTAAAATAAAGTAGCCTATTTCCCCCGATCGGTCTTGGTTACTTAACCCAATCTCCCCGAATGTCGTTCTGACCCACTTCGTGTCCCATCCTGGGTCTTCATTGTTGTTTACAAGTCGCCATGTGGCTTGAATGTCATCTTAGTGGACATTTCTCTTGAAACCCGTATCGTAAAGATGTCAGTCTACCCACGTGCTCAAGTTGGCAGCCACTCAACGTTCAGCCTAATCAGTCAGTGTTCATCGTGTGCGTTTTTACAAGTTTCCTAGCCCTTGAGCTTCTAAGTCTTTTAGGTTTCTTTTTAGGGCTTTTTCCCAATCTGGTACTTATCTTAGGGCCTAAAAGTGGTTAGTGTTAATACTTACCACATTAGATATTGTACACCAATATAGTTCAAAAGTGTGGTCTCCCTCACATTTTATATTTTGTTAACGACGTTTTATCATTTCCCCCCTTGATAATGATCTTATCTTCTTCCTTTTTTTTTAAACTCAAAGTGATACTATTTTGTTACATCAAACATAGTTCGGTACAATTGGAAACTAGTAGACTCGCCACCTCCTCGTCAAACCACAAATTACAATATTCGAATTATATCAGAAATAAAAGCAAGAGGCTTTTCAAATCGTGTTTTAAAGTACAAATCGAGCAAGGAGATATGAAACATTGTTGGTGTGTCGATGCACGCGGGTAAAGCCATCTCCGATGATTTAAAGTAACACTACATTCCCGTCCTCAATAATATGTCCGTAGAAGGACAAATACGAGTCCGAACTATACAACGCAGAAACAATGTAGAGATAATCACTTCAAAAAGATATATTAGAAAACTCCAAAGTCACCATTTAAATCACCACATGCTTTACATCTTGTAACATAGTATCTAAGAGCAAGTCCACCCCACACAATTTAGCCCAGCACCCAGTCCAAAAAGCAGTCCAGCACCCTATCAATTTGCTCCAGCCCGCAAAACAGCTTGGCACCCAACCCAAGCCAGGCAACAGACCAACCCATTTCGGACAAACTCAGAGGATGGCCTATTTGGCTGGCGTGTGCAGCACAGTCACGACTGGGCGCGAGTAGGAGACAAGGTGCAGGCGACGTGGCCCGCTTGTTAACCCACTTGTGTTCACCCGGATTAAGGCTACGTGGCCCTCCTCAGTGCTGTTGGATTTCCAACGGCTAGTTTTTGTAAACCGTTGGATTTCCAACTTTAAAAAAAAAAATTGACTTTTAAAATGGATCGTCGGATCACAGATCAACGTTTCATGTTTTTTTTCACAAAAAAAATTAAAAAAAAGGCCTAACGGTCAGAAATATGACTGTTGGCCACGTGGCAACTCCTTGGCTCTTGGATTTGAATATTTTTCAAATTCAAAATTAATTAACTATATTAAAATTTATTAAAAATTATAAAAAAAATACAGAAAAATTATTAAAAAATACAGAAAATTAAAAAAAAAAAACATAAAATTTTTTAAAATGTTATTTTTTTCTTTCTATAAATACCTAACCTTCATCTTCCACCTTACACCACATTTCAAAATTTTCTACACTTTCTATACTATCTACATTTCAATATTTTCTACACTTTAAGAGAAAAAAAATGTCTTTGTGGAAGCTTATTGAAGATGTTACATTGTGGATGTTGGGTTTACACTACTCATGACCCGATTACGGGTAATGAGATGGATAAGCGAGAAATGTGGAGTAAAATTACGAAAGCGTTTTGCGATGTACATGGAAAAGACGCCATAACTAGTCAAGGTCTTCTTCAAGGTCATTGGAAAAATCTCAACGCATCCTTTACTTGTTGGAAAAACGCCATCTCTCATGCTTCTGGTAACCTCCGTAGTGGGACAAGTTTAGCTGATCAGGTGACAATATTTTTATTTATTTATACGCATTCCACCCACATCAATATTTTAATTTATTTAATTTCGTATGTAATTTTTATGTTATTTCTTATGTAATTTTTATATGCATTCCACCCGCATCAAAATTTTAATTTATTTAATTTCTTATGTAATTTTTATTTAATTTCTTATGTCATTTTTATGTAATTTATATGCATTCCACCCGCATCAATATTTGAATTTATTTATTTGTGTTACACCCGCATTTTTTAACACTATCTTATCCCACATTTTTATAGACACTAAAAGCTCAAGCATTCTTCAATTCAAAGAACCAGAACAAATCATTCAACAAATGGGAATGTTGGGAAATTGTCAAAGATTGCCCTAAATACAAAATTGTGGCAACCGGTCTAGAAGTTGTCATGCACGGCATGGATCTACATAGTTCGCCAGAACCAGACATGGCCGAACAAGAAGCTGACACATTTCAAGACACGGAAGGGACGCCTGAACAAGTGCTCGAGACCCAACCGACTCGTTAGTCCCTCAGGACTCAAGGTAAAAAGGCATTAAAGAAAAAAGGTAGTTCTTCCAAAAATAACTACACTAAATATATGGAGGAACTTGGTCGCCAAGGTGAACTGAACATGGCACGGGAAAAGGCTAGAGATGAGGAAAAAGTTGATGCTATGGCATCAATAATAGCAGCAATAATAGCAGCTACTGAGGCTCGTGATGCGGTGGCTGAGAGACAAAGAGAAATAGTTAATCGAGAGAACGAGCTGGTTAGACAAGCACACTTCATCAAGAAAATGAAATGCTTAGAAAAGAAAGGATGGTTCAAGCAGTTCATGACACTATGAGCAAGTCTCTAGTAGGACTGTCTCCGAATTCAAAATATTTTTGGACATCGGAAAAAAGAGAGGTTGTGCGAAGGAGGCGTGCAAGAGATGCGGAAACAAGTCAAGGGGGTTCTAGCTATACAAATCATAGCAACCAAGATCTTAGTACCACATATCCTAGCTCCAGAGACTTTGTATAATTTTTATGTAATTTCTTATTTTTTAGAATTTTATTTAATTTCTTATGTAATTTTTATGTTTTTTCTTTTTTTTTTCTTTTGAACTTTATTTAATTTCTTATGTAATTTTTATGTTATTTCTTATTTATTTTTTTAAACTTTATTTATTTTTATTTAATTTATTATGCAATTTTAATGTAATTATTTATTTATTTTTGTACTTTGTTTAAACACATGAAATAAGATTACATAAACTCACCAAATAAAATTAAAAACAAAACACACTACATAGAATTACATAAACTAAAAAAAAAAAACACTTTATTCTTCAACCACAAGCCTCATTTTAATTATCCTTGCCTTCAAGCAATCCCCACTGGTGCTCAATCAAGTCATTCTGGCAGGTTAAGTGCCAGTATGGCTCTTGCACATCAGTGTACCGCTGAACGATCAATTCATTGTAACGTCCATCGCGTTCCAACGGCTCGTGTTGCACGGGATCTTCGGTCCGGTCATGAGCACAATAGATACGTGTTCTTGAGTTGTTCATCAGATCCGGCTCATATTCATCAACGACATCATAATCATACTCATCTTCAACAATCATATTGTGGAGAATAATACACGTCATCATGATGGATCGAAGAGCCTTAACATCAAACATTCTAGCTGCAGCACTGACAATCGCCCAATGAGCTTGCAGGATACCAAAACAACGCTCAACATCCTTCCTACACCCTTCTTGACATTTTGCGAAGTGTTTTTCCTTTTTAGTCTGTGGATGTGGCACTGTTTTGACAAATGTTGACCACCTTGGGTAAATGCCATCTGCAAGGTAGTATTATCCCTCGTATTGGGTACCATTAACCCAATATGTGCATTTTGACGATTTTCCTTGCAGCAGTTCATCGAATATTGAGGATTGGGCAAGGACATTTAAGTCATTCTGAGCTCCTGGAACACCAAAAAAAGCATGCCAAATCCATGTATCAAATGAAGCCACTGCTTCCAAAATGATGCTTTTGGCTTATTTTCTGTCGCCATAAGCTCATTACCACGCACTTGGACATGTGTTCCAAGTCCAGTGCATGCAGTTGATACTTCCAATCATGCCAGGGAAGCCTCGCATCTCACCCTTCCTCAGAAGCCTTCGCATGTCCCTTGGCGTGGATGTTCGAGGTACTCATTGGTGTAGAGGGCTTCAATTGCAAAGCAAAACCGCATCAGGGACTCCAGAACAGTTGTTCTTCCCATCCTCGCGATCTCATCCACTTGATTTGCAGATGCTCCATATGTAAGCATTCGCAAAGACGCTGTAATTTTTTGCTCGGGAATAAGACATAGAACATGAAAAACATCATCTTTTTGCACAAAGTATGGATCATGGTTGCAAATAGCACTCATGATTTTGTCGAACAAATTTCGTTGCATTCTAAAACGACGTTTAAAAACATGATCAGGGAATATGCTGTTGGGAATAAAATAATCTTCCAAGAGATCTTTACCTCGTATTTCCCTTTTTCTATCGAGGTTTGCAGCACGTCTTGGTTTGGCTATCTGACTCACGGCTTCCATGACACGGCAGGAATGTGAGGCTTTTTGCCTTCTATGGTGATCATCCTCATCCTCCTCCATGAAGAAAGCCTCATCTCCACCTCCACCTTCCTCGAGATTGGCCAATTCTGCATGTTGTGCCAGCAACCTTTTTTGTTGCTCCTGTAATTGTTTATACACTTTTCTTGAAGAGGACATTGTAATAAGAACTTAAGATTTGAAAACAATGAACAAGGATTCTAAGCTAAAAATAAGGATTGAGCTTGGTGTGAGGATGGATGTAGGGATGTAGGGTTTATATGGACAAAAAAAGAAAGGATGAGGTTTTGGACAATGCCACGTGGCAATACGTGATTGGTTGAAAATCTTATCTAAATCTTGGCTAAATTATTGTAAACCGGAAGTGACACGTGGCGCGTCGGGATTGGTCGAAAATATTATCGGAAATCTATTCACAAAATAGTATGTTTAGATAATGACACGTGGCATGATTGGTTGAAAATCTTATCGAAATCTTGGCTAAATTATTGTAAAACAGAAGTGATACGTGGCGCATCGGGATTGGTTGAAAATCTTAGCGGAAATCTATTAAAAAAATAGTACGTTCGGATAATGACACGTGGCGTGACGAGATTTGTTAAAAATCCTATCCGAAATTAAAACTATTTTATTTTTTTATTTTTTTAGAAAAAATTTAAAAATATTTTAAATGGGCTGGGTGCCAGCGCTTTTTGTAGGGGTGGAGATTGTTTGTGCTAGCACATTTTTTTAGGGGTGGAGATGCATTGGCCTATTACTTTTCATTGGAGTCTGTTACTATTCACTGGAGTGGATAAATGGGCTGGGTGCTGACACAAAATCCTTAGGGGTGGACTTGCTCTAAGAAAGACCCATTTTCATCTTGCTTGCAAAGCTGTTAAAACGAGATTTTGAGCTGAGTTACATAATGTGTTAGTCATAATTCGACATCAAACTCGTTATTTATATTTATGATATTCCATTTACAATTTGCAAGCGAAAATAAATGAGAAATGGTTTTCAGACACATTTTATCTTCTCTTACACAAAACTTTTTATGTATTCAATCTAAAAACAAAAGGTAATCAAATATGCGTAAAGACAGAAATAAAGTGTGAGCAAAATGGCACCCCAAATAAATGTAGATAGCGCTAAAAAGACTAAAGTACCTTTATCCTAAGTCAATGTTGTTTGGGTTAGTGTAGTGGGATGAAGGACCTAATCCTAAGAGGCCCATACAAGGTAAAAATAACCAGTCTTTAGATGACCAATAGAGGTGGCTTCACAGCAAAATCTGCATTCCGAAAAATATGAGAGAAGCTTGAAAAGAATTCCACTCCGGCCTTGGCCTCGAATGTAGTCAATAACGAGCATTCAAACTTTGCATGGAAGTAGTCAATTTCTCATATCTTTCGACTCCAATAGCTCTGAAAAAGAAAAAAAAAAAAAAAAAACTTGGATGCATATCAATATCAATTTAGTTGACAGATGTAACACTCCCTGTCCCGTAGGGCTTAAAAATTCAAAATGTCAATGCTCTGCAAGCTAAAGAATATATTTAAAAAAAAAAAAACTAGTTGTCTATTTTTTTGGTTTGAAAAATTAGTAAATTAATTCAAATGTATTTGTTATATGAATTTTGACGGAAAAACAAAAGCATGATTGAAGTCTAGTTGTATTAAAAACCCGAGTTTATAACAATTCCATTGACTGACGAACTCCAAATGAATATTATACGAAAACCAAATTAACAAAATGAGGACGAAATTAAAAACTCCAATGTCAACTTTGATGAAAATGGCATGCGTGGTGGCAGTGGCCTAATGGCTAATGTCAACTGTGAAAGGTCCATATATTGCTAAATTAACTTACCAGCTATTATTGCTGATTAAGAATTCATAAGACAGGCTTTTATCCAACTAAATTAAAATCAAGCGTATAATTCATATTAAACAAGGACTTAAAGCTTGTTAATTTATAAGAAAAACTTCAAATTAAACATTTGTAGTATTCATTTAGCGAAGAGTTACATCAAAAAAAAAAAAAAAAAAACAGAGACAACAAAGGAAGATTTTAACTCAAATACCGAAGAGAAGAGACACTACTTTAGCCGACTTGCATCAAAGTGTAAGTCTACAATGAAGTTATGCATACTTCATTTGTATCCTCTCGTGCATTCATCATTCGTTTCACCAACCCAAAACAAACTACAAAAAACTAACAAGGATAGTGTGCAGTCAAGAAAAGCGGCAGCTACTTCCTATCCAGTATAGTCCCGGCAGCTGCTTCGCAAACTAATAAACATAGTTTAATATTTCGACCATACAAATAGTATTTCAATGAAGGAAAAAAACAAAACAAAAACGGTTTAGTATTAAGTACATTAGATATGCTGTTTTGTTACTAAATTACGTGATCAAATGTGCTTAGGTATAGTCTCATGACTATCAGCCAAAGAAGATAATGAAATGTTACTCTCAGCCAGGCCACCCATATATCTACCGACCTTAAACCGCTATAACGGTCTACTTTGGTGGCTAATCAAATTTAAAAACAGCCTTTTGTTTTCGGATTACATAGTTGAAATGAATTAATCATTTGGACTGTAACGAGGAGTGAAAGTAACGTACGTAGGGTTAAGCCCTCACCATCCCAGCTAGGTCCCCTCAATTCTTTATTCTTATCTTACCCTTTCCCAACATACGTACATATATATATATATATATATATATATATATATATCCCTAGGTCCCCTCAATTCTTTATTCTTATCTGACCCTTTCCAATCATACATATATATATCCCAGCTAGGTCCCCTCAATTCTTTATTCTTATCTTACCCTTTCCAATCATACATATATATAGACACACGAAGTAAGATGACATGAATTCTTATGCATATTCGCCCCTTGATTTTTTTTTTTTTGGGGTCAATTTTCGCCCCTTAATTTGTTTGCAAGTTGCTACCAACATTATCAAGAAATATTGAAATTTATATCGTATTCTTACTAAAATATAAATTCTAACCCTATTTTACAAGATATATTACGCACCTGTAAACATGATGCATGGTTTGTACTTCTAGTGATCATTGCAAATAATAATTTGTAAGATTAGTTGTTTGTAGATTTTAGCCTGCCAAAGAGAGTACATGCTGATTAAAAGCTAAGAGCAACTAATTAAGCAGGTGACTGAGAAGAGATTTAATTAATAGATATTCAAAATACAAAACATAACAAAATATTTATATATTACAAAGATAGCTTGAATTTCTTTCATCTCCTTATTCTCTCCGATCCTAATATTTAACAATTAAAGTTATTGACATATTGCAAGACTCAAGAAATCTTAAATCCCACAAATTATGCATCAAACCCATATATTTTATCATCAACCAAGCAAGCTATCAGTTTTGTAAAGTGCTAAATATGCATTATAACTAGAACTGGTTGATGGCAACCATCCTAGACGGGGTAAGAAGATGGTAAGAGCCATAACGCTTAGCCAAGCCACACCCTTGAGGAACCTTTTGGTCACCACAATCATCCATTTCCATCAAAACCTTGTAGAATATCTCAACATCACAAGGAAGCACAAGGGGACCTCGACTGTCATACCCAAATTCAGACTCGGCTTCTTCGAGTAGCATCTTGAAGAGAGGATGGTTTGCGTGTTCCGTTTTGACCACAAACCTTTGCTTTTGGGATCCGACATAGACTGTAAAGCAGCCTTCAGGAGCCACTTGGCGCTTGGTCGCACGCTTTTCCTCGGGTATCCCGAGGTTGATGTTCGGGCATGACTTGCTCTTGGTGGTCAGAGCAGGCACCATTCCATGAATATTAGTAGGACGACCCCGGCCTATTGATTTGCATCGCTTCCAGGTTTTGGTTATCAAACCCATCTTACCTTTTCGTGAACAAGAATTATTGAAACCGAACAACGGATAGAAAAAAGATTTATATGCTGATGTTGGGTTTCAAAAACAACACACAACACCACCCTCCATCAATTTAGTATGAAGGAGAAATGAGAACTTTGTAATATGAACAATATAAACAAAGGGCACGAAAAAAATTGTGAAATGATAGGATCGGATATGTGTGGATTTAACCCCTGTCGTAGACCAAATAAACCATGACTTTCACTCTTGGAATCATTGTGTTACTCATATTTTTTCAATGAATAAACAAGTGAAGGATCATGCAAAATATGGATGAAGCGATCGGAAAAGAATCACAAGGATTCAAGTACTGGTGGTTGTGGTGGGCATCAAAGAGAGAGGGAGGAGGGTTTTCAGGAATGCCAGGAGGGGGAGGGAGGATACAAAGGGGAGAGGAAGCAGAGAGATAAGCTCTCTAGCTACAATTTGCGTCTTTGATGGGGCAATCTTGGCATGGAGAGGGTGGTATATAAAGCCCGCATGCATCATTGTTTATTCATAAATGTAACCACTTGTCAACGGTAGGCATGCCTATTTTTCCATATGTGAATACGTCATGTTATACCTTTAGCCAATAGCGTAATATTATGTGTTTAACATTGTTAGTTTAAGATATCTTAATGATGTATTGAAAGTGTAAGTGAGTCCTCCCAAATATATAAATATAGGAATATGTACAAATTTACTCAGATTATTATTACTACCTGTACAAATAATTTGCCACATCTCTAACTACAACCATGAATTGTATTGTTCGGATAAATTTGATATTTTTCGTATTAAGTTTCTTAAGTTTAAGCCTCTACAAATATAGTTTATAAGTCAGTCACAATGTAATCTTACATAATCACGTCCTCTTGTCAAGTTTGTAGTGTTTTCTTTCATTTTGAGTAATATACTTTAGTTTTTGAAATTCGTTCATTTCTTGGTACTCTAATTTTTAATTCTAGAACTGATTACAAATATTATATCTATGTGATAGTTTGAATTTAAGATTTCAATGACAAAAAAAAAAAAAAAAAAAATGGTGGGCTACGTCAAAATACACTTGGAAATTGTGTGGGTGCGAGCTAGTTAGAGTCTACACCATTACCGATAGTGGTAACAATTTATTTTTTTAATACAATAATATATTTACACTAAATTTTAGACGAAATCTCAATTCTGATTGACTACCTATTCCGTGTTCATATATGGCAGATGATCATTTGCTGGTAGTGGTATGTAAAAGCAAAGGTTCTCAATATTAAGTACGCGTACTCATTATTCATTTGTTGACAGTTAAGAAAGCTAGCATTTGAGTTAGTAAATCTATATATGATGACAGCTCAGAAGAAAGCTCAAGCAGAAAATATATATACCTCCCTTCGATAAACCCTAATCCATTCTATGTATCACGTGAATAAATAAATAAGTATACAAACTAAGGCTCACCTTATCTGTTCGATGAACCAGGCTTAGACAACTATATATTGTCAAGTGGCCAATAAAGTGTATACCTTGGCTTTGATTAAAGGCTCACCTTATATGTTCGATGAACCAGGCTTAGCCAACTATATATTGTCAAGTGGCCAATAAAGTGTAAACCTTGGCTTTGATTAATATACATATTTATGCAATGCCTTCTAATTGGTTAACCAAAAGAGGCGAGTAATAATTCAGGCTTTTTAACAGAATAATCTTACATTTATCATATCTTTCACACTCTGTTTGTACCATCTTTTTAATAGAGGTTGAGCCCGTCAACACAAGTGAGTCTCATCTCTATTTAAAAAGTGGCATGAATGTGGTATGTAAACTGTGGTAAGAATATCAATTTTGTTTTTACAATCTCTATACAAATAATTTTTCATAGACTCCATTTGTAATTGTGAGAGGGCTTGTCAACTTGTTGCCCCATTTTCTTCCAATTTTGCCCTCACTTTTGAATACACAATGTTGACATGAGAAGGGCAAAATAATAATTTTGTATCTTTTGAACCTTTTCTTCCAATTTTGCCCTCACTTTTGAATACACAATGTTGACACGAGGAGGGCAAAATAGTAATTTTGTATATTTTGAACTTTTCCCCCTTTTTTCCTATTTTGCCCTCACTTTTGCTCCACAATATTTACATAAGGAGGACAAAATAGTAATTTTGTATCGAAATATTTACATAAGATAAAAAATATGCACTTATTAAGAGAAATTATCCCACCATCATTTTTTCATACATGTAAGTGAAATTATGATGTTTTTTGGATAGTTTGAATGAACTGAAGCAGTTGCGTTTGAGGAGAACGTGAGAGGAGGTGAGCAGTTGAAGAAGCTTTAATTTTGTACCTTTTGACAAAATGACAATCATATACCTATTTTTCCTATGACAAAACAGTAATTATGCAATATTAAGAAAAAATATGCATTTATTAAGAAAAATTGTTCACACAGACATAAAATATGTGCTCTCTGCTAGTATATACCATGGGTAGCCATTTTGTAGGCTTGGCCCAAACCTCTCACCCTTGATAAGAGTACATGTTTTATCTTATTATTGACTCGTATCATTGGCTAAATATATGGTGTTTTTACTAGTGATGACAATGTTCTTAGTTTATTCCTCATGGTAGAGATTATTCATGAAAGTTTCATGTCATCACTTTAACTTGTTAAATTATTCTAAATAATGTTATGTTTGTGTCACATTTACGGATTATTTTATGCTATTTGCTCTTTAATAAAGGCCAGTCCCATGTATTAGAATTAGAAAGGTAACAACCAATATATATGTTCCAAACATCTCCCAATTAGCTTAGAGGTTTTTAATTCCAACACAACAATAAGTGAAGCTGCTGGAAATCTCCACGAGCGACCAAAATAAGTCGAAAACCCTTCTAGCATGTGACATCACCAAGAGCTTAATTGATTGTTTATAAAATTTATTCGTCGGTCTGAAAACTGAAAAGCCAAATTATTGTCTATAAAAAAATGATGCGACTAACCTAAGTAACAGACTAATTACGATTATTGAAGAGATCGCGACGACTAAAGTTGAATATCAGAGTGCGCAACGAACAAGTCTAATAAGAATAATAAAAATATTATTAAACAAACGAGAATGCCGGAACGGCTACAAAAAACCTAGGAGACTACATTGTGAATAACTTATTCTCTAATGAATAACAAAGCACCCTATTTATAATAAACTAACCATAATCTCTAACAAAACCTAATTCTAACGGGTTAAGCCCATAAAACCAAACATTCAAATAAACCAAAATACTAATATTTTTCAACATTCTCCATCAAACTCATGGCGGTACACGACATGAGTTTGCCAACAAGCAGATGTGGATGCAAGCCTCCAAATTTCAATGCCAATGCCGATGCTGATGCCAATACCGATGCCGATGCCAATACCAATGCTAATACCAATACCAATGCCGATGTCGATGCGGATATCAATACCAATGTCGATGCCAACTTCCGAACAAACAAACAAAAAATCCAACCAAATTTTTTTTTTCCTTTGCCCGCATGGGCCTCAAACAAGCAACCAATTTTTTCTTGTTTTTTTTTATTTTTTATTTTTTATTTTTTACTCCCTTTTTTTTCCTTTGCAGCAATACAGACTTGCGGATACTCTGCACGCTGCGGCGTTCAAAGGTGCAGAAGTAGAGTCACAGGACAAAAAACGAACGAACAATTTTTTTCTTCTTGCAAACAATCAATACCAACTAACAATCTAAACATGAACGACAACGGAAACGAGCAAAAAGATACCAACCCGAAGCAGATTAAATCCCAAAGGATCAAACCTGCTCTGATACCAAGTTGAATATTAGAGTGCGCAACGAACAAGACTAATAAGAATAATAGAAATATTATTAAACAAACGAGAATGCCGGAACGGCTACAAAAAACCTAAGAGACTACATTGTGAATAACTTATTCTCTACTGAATAACAAAGCACCTTATTTATAATAAACTAACCATAATCCCTAACAAAACCTAATTCTAACGGGCTAAGCCCATAAAACCAAACATTCAAATAAACCAAAATACTAATATTTTCCAACAACTAATGCATCAAACATTATCACGTTTGTAAATTACGATAAAGTGCCACATATCGAGTTAGACGATTAAATACTTGCCGCATCTTATATATGTATTATATCTTCAAATTTAGCTACGTAAGACATATTCAAAATGATTTCTCATTAAATAGACAAATAATCTGAGGGACACATATAGATCATGCGTTGTAATCATGCTTGTTAAGTAGAGATAGAATAACAATTTTAATAGTGCCACTACATTATAATGGTATTGCTTTTCACTTGTAAGGCGAATTTAAACCATATTATTGCAAGTTCATTATGAAACTTAGCCCACCTCTCACCTCTTAGACTATCTCCAACCCTTGGGGATAAAGCTTAAAAAGTTAAGCCAGAAAATTTTAAGTCATATCCCATAAACTGTTTTTCTCCTCCAAAGGCTTAAAATTTTAGCTCAAGATTACTAAACACTGATTTTAGCCTAACTTTATTTGTTCGGTAACTTGTTTGAAATTAAAATTTATGTAGATTATCCTATTTTATTTGTATGAATATTATAATCCAAAAATATTTAAATTCTGATAAGTAATTAAAAATCATACAAATACATAGGTATTTATAAAGTTTAAGTTAAATTTGATTTAAATAATTTTCGTTAATTATTTTAGACTTTAACTTTCATTTTTTGAACCGATTTTTAAAGATTTAATTTTGGGCCGTAAAATCTTTTTTTTCTTTACCATTAGATTTGATCTCATTTGGTCATAGCTGTTAGATTATAAGTGAAAAACAAAAAAATGTTTGAAATATGACAATTTGGTGGGTCCAAAATAATTTAAGCTAGGTTTAAATCCTGAGAGAAATCTAGTCCAGAGATATATTTCTCCTCCGGGCTTATTTTAGGCCATGGTTGGAGATGGTT